TCTTAAGTTTCCCTTAGAAACTGATAAAAATTATACTGACTATAAGAGAGTAACTTAGCTAACAGGAATTCGTTCCCATTCCTGACGGTTCCTTTTTCTACTGCTTATTTACAGTTAAATGTTAAATCCTTGACTGCTTTGGATATCACATTAAATTCTTATTCGCGTAATATCTTGAACTGTTTACAATCTTGAAATTAATTCTAGACTGAACAAATTCTAAATTTAACTATCCTGCGTTAATTTTCAGAAATGACGTTGTTTCTGACGGTGTCAACTCCCGAGTTCACATTATACCCTTCTACTATGGGTATTTATCTTCTGACTTTAACCTAGCTGTCTGGCAATTAAGGATTTTCTCTTTTTTAAAAAATGTCAGTGCGTTTTTTTTTTACGCTGCTAACATCATGCTGTGTTTGGAGATTCTTGAAATTAAGATTCTCAAACTATACTTGTACTGAAAATTATTCCGCCTTAAAGTACGGCAAGAATTTATCGATCAAATTTACTTGATCGAAAACATAAACTTAACATGAAATCTGCTACAGAATTTAGGAATACATCTATTGATTCCATAAATCCTTCAGTCACATAATATTTTCTAGGAAAATCCTTGGCTTAAATAAATAAATTGTATTATTTAAAGTCTGGAATTTTCTCAGTCATTACATATCGAGCCCCAAATATTGCATGAGATGGGGAGGTCCTACCACTAGAGCAGGATTAGGGATGGTAATTTTATGAGAAAATTATTGAATTTACTTTATAAGTTTGAATTTTTATTTTTTTACTCTTAATTAATATCCTTTTAATTAATATTGTTATTTGATTAAAAATGATATCAATTAGTAAAAATTCAGACTCATACACTTTAAAAGGTGTTTGTCTCTTTTATCTTAATATTAATTTAATGAGGCATGGTAAATCCGATCCTTTTAGAGTAGACGTTTAGGGTGTCCCTATATGGAATTCATCATGTTTAATTTTTTTAAAGGTATAATAAACTTATTAAATTAATATTTTGTAACATGTTTTCTTTAATGTGAGCACTTAGATCTTAGTTATCTATTATTAAATTGTGTAATTATTAGTTTTTTTTTATTTAAACTTTTGAGATTACATGATAAATGGATTGAAATTTAAAATAACAGAAATTTTTGTATGAGTTTTCCGTGGTGGTGTAGGAGATGGAGAAGGTGATTAATTAACCATAGCCGCGCGATTGAAATTGGAGTATATAATATGGTGTTAAATGCAATAACAGAATTTTTTAGAGAATATCATCACACTTCTTACATGATGAGAGATCTTTTTTTTTTTTTAATATCTGAAATAATGAGAGAATTTCAATGGCCTTATAGGTAGGGGTCACCGTAAAATTCTCCTACTATAAATGCGTGGGGATCTAAATATTCCACCAATAAAAAAATGACATTTGGATTATAAATATAGTAGAAAATGATAATGTGTCAATAGTCGAGTGAAACGTAAAGGAAGCAAAGGAAACGATGACGTGAAAGTTCGTGAATCTTCAGCATACGATGAACGGCTCTAATTTAAAATAGTGGAATTAATGAAAATCAAAACGAGGCTCAATCCAAGGGTTGAAAACCAAAGTGACTTTCCGCGCATTACTGAGCTTATAATGAGTGTGGGAAAAATTGACACTAATTTATTTCATACAAAAACTGTCATTTTTATTTCTTGATGTTTTATCTAAGAAAGACTTCTGATTTGAGCGTCAAAGAGTTATTCTTGCAAGAAACCCATTTCCCCAAACTTTTGAGTTTCAAATAGAATCAAAGATCAAGAATCAAGTGAGAAGTAATTCATGGGAGTTGGAACCTATTTTCACCCAACAGAATGGCAACTTAACAGGAGAATTTTATGAACAATTTTTTTTTTTTTCCCCTTGGAATTGTGAATATCAATTCTTTTGGGGGCGATAACATATTATCCTATCTGTGTCTAACATTGATATGTGATTGATAGGTGATAAATAGAACTGCCTTTGTACACATGAAATGTTAGCGAGATAATTAGTCTTGTCATCATCATTATCAGTCCATGACAAAAGCAATTGTCCGCCAAACGATTAGCACTGAATGTGTAATTTTAACTATTTAGGTATCGTTCATTTCACATATTTAAATTATTAATTTTAATTTTATTATAGTTAAAAGTTCTTATAAAAAGTTACATCTAATTATTTCTATTATTATAAAAAATTTTCACATAAAATCACATTTGAATTTAAATTAAAAACTCGAATTAAGAAAATAAACGATGACTTAATGTCAGGAATCTCCTATCACTTCTGTATACTACGCCCTACTTAACTAATGGTTGAGACTGATATTAAACATACATCAACCGTTGGCATGTCTCTTTATCAATTGTTTGAAAGATAATATTGATCAAGAAAGAAAAAGTGCTAGCTTACATCAATAATATATATATTTCCCAAAAAAATAACATATATATATATATACATACATACATACATACATATATATTGAATAGATTCCCGTAAATTTTGATTTTTTATTTTTTTTAAGTGCCGACTAGAGAAGAAGCTGAAAGGAAAATGATTGAAGTATATTAGATAGACAGAAGCTTCAAGTATTGATTATATAGATGGGACTTTCATTTGAAAAAAAAAAAAAGGATTATATAGATGGGACTTCCGTGGCCTCTTATCCTTGAATGGAAATCCCATGTTGCCGGGCTTTGTTGATACAAGAAAATACATCCTCAACCATTACAGTCCACAAAACAAAGGGTCAATTTTGTTGGTACAAGAAAATACATCCTCAACCATGTGGCCTCCAAATCAAAAGAATTGATTACATGATTAATAGACGGTGGTTCTTATTTTTTAATCTCATACCATAAGATTCATATTTTTTTTTGTTAGTGTGTGGTACTTAACACCATCAATCTCTTATAATATTGTTCAAACTTTTATGTTTGGATATTTCTAAGTGAAAAATAGTGCTCCGTAATCGGGGGTTGCATTCGTAATATAGCGGCTAAATTCACAATTCTGACTACACCTTGAGATGAAAAGTGATGAAGCCAGTCTTTAACTTTAAACATATACTAAAATTTCTTTTGAGAAATAATTAACATGAAAATTATTAAAAATAGTATCTAGGGCCATAAGCTCTGCGATAGAAATATCTTTTGCGTTATTATTTTATTTCAGAACGCATAAGAGTAAAACTCTTTAGTGAGGGTTGATATGAGATAACTAATTTTGAGTGTAGGAAAAATGAAAAACCTAAAATTTTTAAGCTAAAGAAAAAGAAACTAACAACTTAATGACTAGAGGAGCGGTAGCCTCACTCGGCCCAACATACCTTAGCCATCCTTCCTAATCCATTTCAAGCTTTAATGATTAGAAAAAAAAAAAAAGGATGGTTACATAAATAGTCTGTTTGGGACTTAGGTCCAATGTTTGAAAAAGCTCGTAATTTCTCGAGGACATTAGCACATGCTACATCTACATCACAAGATATTTATGGTTTGCTTGCATTTTAAAGGTGAAAATAGCCTTTTGAACAAATAAAAATTCCATGTTTTGCGCCGTTCGTAAATATGACATGAAAAGTAATCAAGAAACTAACTTGTAGTATTATAAAAGACTACCAATGTTGTTATAAACAAAACGACCGTGTAAACAATATTAGAAACAAAGCAGTAAACAAATACACTCAGATCATTTATCATGCATGCTCTACAAACAAGTAGAAATATATTAATGCAATTCCAATAAATGACAGCATATATTGACGTCAAAACTGGATTAGTTCTTATTTCAAATTAATAGCTTATATTCGAAAAAGGGTAGAGCTCATATCTTAAGTAACAACTAGCAGAAATAATCCTAACTCCTCTTTTTCCAGAACAGCAGCCCACTGCCGAATCAACCAAGTGATCAAGACACCTCTTACACTCACTCTTGGAAAGGTCTCTTGTGCACTGAGCCATCCCATGAATCTTCCTCGAGTCGTCGATTGCTATTTCGTCACTCGCATACAGATTTCTATCCACAGAAGCATTTTGTGACAGCCCACCAAGCAGCCGCCTAGTGCTTTCGGAAAAGGCCACCTCGTTTTCGCCTATGCTCGCCGCGCTCGCGAACCGGGGCACTCTTTGGGTGTCGATTTTGCCGAAGATATCGTTGCTGTGGTACCTCCGCAGGCAGTGGTCGTACCAAATGGCGGCGTCGGGCTTGTAAGGGCAGAGCCTGAGGATTTCCTCACTCGCTTCGATGACACATCTGGCGCAGTCTGTGGGAAACAGGTCGCCGCGGCAAAGGGCGAACCCGTAGGCCTCGTCGAAGATTTGGCCCGTCCCAAAAATGCCGAAGACGGTTGGAGGGGTTTGGAAGGAAAGATAGCTTATGAGTTTCCTTAGGCTTGTTTCGAAATCGGAACAAATATGAGTTAGAGGATAGGCTCCTAAAGCTACATGGAAAAGTGAAGCAACCAATGTTAAGTGGGAGAAATAAGTGATAAATTTTAGGAAAGACATTAATTCGTGATGTTGTGAAAGGGAATGGGATGAAAGTTGAAGCTGAATGCTATTTCATATTACGTTAAATTGGTTTCAGCTAATTAACACCGAATTTTAGTTGGAAGATTATATTTCTGATGTTGCAAGCAATCTAAAATCCTAAAAGATTATAGTAATGTTTTTTTTTTTTTTTTTTTAAAGAACCCCTTTGATGAAACCTTTAATTTCAGATTATTAACAATATTATATTTTAATAGTTTGAAGATTGCATTTTCATTTTATAAGCAATCTAATATCCTAATAAATTAGAGTATTATATTTTTTATGAAACTTTTGATTTTGGATAATGAACATTATATTTTAGGTTGATGGTTGCATTACGAATCTTCTGAGTAATCTGAAATTCCAAAAATAATAGACTATTAAATTTTAAAAGAAACTTTTGTTTTAAGTCAGTTTCTATTGGAAGTAATGGTTTTAGGCCACTTAATTAAGCCGAGGCATTTTTTTACCCCAGGATATGTTTTTATAATTCCAAGTTTCGTTGGTCTATTAACTAGCGACATGGTTCATCGCTAATCTTAACGACCACCTTTTTCCTTTGGTCAAAAGTTTATAAGCCACATACAACCGAAAACACCTATTCGTTTTAATTTTTTTTTATTATTTTTTTTTTTCTCTCAAATTCCTCCACCTTTCATGTAGCTCTAGACTTGATATGTAATTAATAGAGCAAAATGGAAAAAGAGTTATCCTATAGAGGTAGCCCGTCCTTGTCACTTTATAACAAGGTACCAATAATAAAATACTCTACAATAAAAAATTTTGTTTGTTCAATGAAAATATGAGGGGAAAAAAATGGACTTATCCCACAAGCAAGTTTTTGTAACCAGAAAACTAATCTCTCATAGGTTATTAGAGACGAATTAACTTCACTTCCTTGGCAACTCTTAACTAAGATATATATGTATACATAGGGTTTAACTCTTATAGCCAGAGAAAAAAAATAAATAAATAAAAAAAGCCGTCATGAAACCGTTTCGACCAAAGCAATGTATTATTTAGACCTTCTTCATTTTACCGATTCGAGTTTGCAGTTCTAAATTTCAACAGTTAAAAGCTTTTAAAAAATATCATATGTAAATTTTTCTACAACAGTTAAAAACTCTATGAAAATGTCACATATCAGCTTGAATTGAAAACTCGAATCCGCAAAGCGATCGAGGTCTTCACTCACAGAATTCAGAGACACTCTATGGTGATTCCAATTGTTTGTATAAGACACTACAAAATAGTGCATCCAGAAATGGGAACTTGGAAAGGACTCTACCATAAAAAATAATTAAATAAATAAATAATAATAAAAATGGGAAAGTACTCAACATCTTTTGATATGTTATATGGAGAGAGATGTCATGTGCACTCTTTTAAATGAATATCAATGTCAGACTCGGGCCGTGTCTGCTGATCCTCCTTCAGCATGGTGCTCCACACATTTTATAGTTGTTGTTTCTTAGTTCTACAGATCAAAATGGAGCCCTTAAAATCTTCTTTTGATAAACGACAATAAAATTATTTGTGTTTGGGTTGGATTTTACATAGCACGAGCAAGTCTGGACAATCGGACCCTCATGAGTGTTTGTAGGTCTAGTAGCAACCGCAGAAGCATTTCTCCTAGAATTAGGCACACAAGTCCCACCAAAGCCATTGATAAGCCATCGTAATAGAATTCAATAATTCAGCTCAAGTTATAGATAGTTTGCTTAAGAAGCTAAGAAGTGTCGTGGATGAATTCAAACTTAATTGATTGAGCTTCCCTTGGTTCAATCTTGTTCCTGTTCCATGCCAATTAAGTTGACAACATTATCTAATATTATTCTGTAGTTTATGACTCAAGAATAGAGGATCAAAAGCAATAATGCCTTTGTGGATAAGAGGTGACTAGTGAACTACTTACTATACAGCTATAGGTTATGTACTACCTTTATGTCGGAATTGAGAAATTGTATGGTTCGAATCCTCAGTATTCTATTATTTATTACATGTGGCTACTATTTAGGCAGAATACCATCACGTGTTCTTACTAAGAAAACTGAAAGAACGGAATAAAATGAGGAAAATGAGGAAGAAACAAGAGTAGAAAAAACATCATAAACGAAGGGGACTAAGCAGGATCCGGAGGACCTGATCCTAATGCATTCCATTGCTCACTATGAAAGCCCTTTAAAATCCATCACATTTTCCTAGTAGATGAGACACTAACCCAAAACATGCTCTCTAACATGCAGAATTAGACATAGAAAATGATTAACATGGCTGGAAACCATGAAAATGACCGCAGGGCAAGAATGAATTATCCAACTCAATATATAAAAATTAGGAATTCTAACTGCAAATTGATAAATCAACATCCCCTTCGGTTACCCCAGAACATAATTAGCCCGTACCAGTTTAGCATCTCAGGAAAAATATCAAATTTTCAGTATATGCAAGATAAACATGGACGGCATAAAAGGATTCTAAGAATGATTCTTCATTCACTTTCCCTTCTCTCATCTATTTTACCAGGATGAATGGCGGCCTCAATCTGAGTGTTGTTGGAAACGGGTTTCACCACTTCTTCACCAGCGCAGTCCTCCAAATTGTTTGGTGTACCAGAGAACTCAGAACCTGCTGGAGTTGCTTGTGAGCTAGAGACTGATGGTGTGGCAACTGACGGAGAATCTTTTTGTAAACCAGAAACGGAAATAGAAATGTTAGGAAAGTTGAGGCGAGCGCAGGAACTGTACATAGCCCTTGCAGCTTCATCATAAGCAAGAGCAGCTTCAATGGCTGTTGGGAAGGTGCCTAGCCAAAGCCTACTACCCCTGTTCGGTGCCCGAATTTCAGAAACCCACTTGCCCCATGTCCTCTGCCGCACACCCCTAAAGCTACAGCGAGAATTCTCAGGCCCTCCCTTTCCCTTCATACATCCTTTCTTCGACCCCTTGGCCGGAACTCTAGGAATTGGCTTGTGGACGCCCTCAGTTGAATAAAGGCGGTCATTGTATTCTCTCCACTTTGCCAAAGTCTCTGCAAGGGATTTAGATCCATCCCCTCTAGAATGGCGATTCTCCAATCTGGGCATGCAAATTGATAATAAGATTGAAGGCCGCTAAACTGAAAGAGACAGCTAGAATAACCTGCAATCCCAACAAGATGTACTCACAATAAGAAAGGTTACTACCTTTCGCAACCAAACATATTCCAAAACTACTCTCTAAAGGCTGATACTACTACTAAAACACGCAGAAACCCAAGAAATGATGTTTTTTTTCTTTTTTTCCCCCTCAACAGCGAACCGGAACAATGTATATACCAAAACTTCACTTAAATTCTTCTCTATTATATTCCTTTTGACACAGACAGTATCTTACGCAACAATCCTTCATTAAAAACATAAGTAACCTTGAAAAAAGAAAAATGGTGCCACATTACTAAACCATAAATTTTCTTCAATTCCTTCCTTGTACATACAATCACAACCATTTTTCTTCCCCAAAAATAAAATAAAAAAAATAGAAAAAAAAACTTCTCGCCAAATTAGAGCATGGATCTCTCGAATGCGGCACAAATAAAACTCGAAGAAACCGTAAAGATAGGAAACCAATTTCCAGCATCGAATTCCCAGCTTTTTTTCTTTTTTTTGCACAACCAAATTCTCAGTTTTGTCAACTCCTAGAGTGCCAACTTTGACAATTATATAAATATAAAAATAAAAAAAAATAAAAATAGAGAGTGGAACAAAGCTCTGGAAAAGATAATCGATCGAGTAATTGTAATTCCTGTAACTCGATTGCAAAATGAACTCAGAAAAACAAACAACGAACAAACAACAAAATTGATTTAAAGCATAGAAACTATTACCTTATCTTTAACAGTAGAAGCGCTAGTCTTGAGTCCAATTGGCGGTTGAGAAATGGAAGGAAACTAAAGGCACAAACGGAAATGGATTTTGGGCTAGGGTTTCATTGAAAGGGGAAAGTAGACTGAAAGAATGACAGTTTGGCGCCGAAGGGAGAGAGAAATGTCGGTAATCACAAAGCGGTAAAAGAGCGATTTTTTTTTTGTTTTTTTTTTCGCTTTCACGAAATGACATCCCGAATCATAGCCTCAGTTATTATTATTATTGTTAGGAACTTAGGATTATTACCGAGTGACCTGAATTTTAAAATTATTTTTAATTTTAAAAAATTTTGTTTTATTTTTTAAATTTTAAATTATTCTCATTTAATCTTTTTTATTATAAATTTTGTACAAATATTTGAAAAAAGACAGTTAAATGTGATTATTTAATTTTTATATGTTTTTTAACAGAAATTCAAATAAAAAGATTATGTGATTGTGGTATTCACTTATTATCTTGTTTTCTATCTGTTTTTAATAGATTTTGTAACAAAAATGATTAAGTAGAAACAATTTAAAATGCAGGGAGTAAAATGAAAGTTTTTAAAGTTAAGGAGATAAATTGAGAATAACTATAAAGTTAAGAGACATTAGTGATAATAATTCTTATCGTCATTATTATTATTGTTTTTCTTTTTTTTTCTTCTAAAAAGAAGGATTAATGGAGTGGAATGCCTGAGAAAATTTCAGAATTAAATAATATAATTTATGCATTTAAGTTAAGGATTTTCCTAGAGAATATCATGTTATATTTTATGACTGAAGAATTTATGAAATTAATATCAATATTCCTAAATTCTGTAGCACATTTTATGTTAAGTTCATATTTTACGATCAAGTATATTTGGTCGATAAATTCTCACTGCAATTTAAGGCGGAAAAATTTTCAGTACATATACAATTTGAGAATCTTAATTTCAAGAATCTTCAAGCACATTACGATGTTATCAGCATACCGAGAAACACTCTAACATTCAAAAGAAATCCTTAATTGCCGAACAAATAAGTTGAACTCATATGGATAATATCTTTTAGTAGAAGGATACAATATGAGCTCAGGAGTCGACACTGTCCGTGATAATGTCATTTTCGGGACATAATGCAGAAAAGTTAAGTTTAGAATTTATTTAGTCTAGAAATAAATTCAAGACTCGAAACAGTATGAAATATTACGCTAGTAAAAATTTAATTTGATATTGAATTATTCAGGGATTAATATTGAACTGTAAATAAACAGTAGAAAATGAATCGTCAGAAACTAAAATTTCTTGTCGGTTAAGTTAATCTACTACAGTCAGTGTAAATTTTGACTGCTTAATGAAATCGTAAGGAGATAAGATCAAAGACAAGATGAGATATGATTAGATGGTGGTAGGTGAAGAGTAATCATGATATTCTTTTTTTCTCTTTTCTCTTCTAGTGGCCGGCCATGCTTAAGAGGGTTTTAAGCAAATTTTACTTAATGAAGTTGGACTAGAAGATTAAATAAAGAGATAAGACTAAATCACCACTTTATTAGAAGACACTTCTTACTTCTCTTCAAAAAACACCAACCGGCCATATCATTAAGTTTCTCTCAAGTCTCTTTCTTCCATTCTCTTTATGCCAAACCAATTCCTCCATAACTTCAAGTTTTCAGAATTTTCTCTATTCTCCCTCACGAAAACCAAGCCTCTCTCTAGCTTGCATACTCTCAAAAGTTTCCACCTTTCTCACCACAAATCTAAGTTTAAGTTGAAGGAGAAGAAGGGGATTTCAAGGGGTTTTCAAGAGAGTTCTTCAAGGGTATTTCTTTAACTCTCCTCTATTATTTTTCTAGTCATCCTTGAGCTTAAATTTATGGATGTAATTTGTGGTTCCTTGATGATGTGGTTTGTAATAAGGGTGTGTGAGTTTTATATTGGTTTTGTGTGTTTTGAGGTTAGTTTGATTAGTATTATTTGGTATGTTTATGCTTAGTTTAAGTTTACTTATTTTGGTTAGAGGTAAATTTTCCGGTTTCTTTGAGCGCGAAAATGAGGATCCTAGAGTGAGATTTTTCAGTTACTCTAAGTTTGAACTCATGGTTCTCGATATTTTGAACATTTTTCTATGGCTGTGAATAAACTCAATTTTAACTCTAAATATAAGTTTTAAGCCATTTTCAAAAATGCCTCAAAGTTGTCTAAAATAGCTTCAAAAAACAAAAAAACCCTCCAGCCACTGTGGTAGCCAAATGAGAGGCCGAATCTCAACTTTCTCCAAAAATGATAATTTTAGAACCCAACAAGACAAAGAATTCCACTGAAGAACAAATTTTCAAAATCAGACTCTAAAATTGTTGTGCCAAACTTCAAAGTAAACGGATTCAAAACAAAATTGAATAACATAAAAATTCAAGAGACAAAAGGATTTAATGTGGTTCGGCTTTTGGCCTACGTCCACTAACAGAAATGGTGAAAAAATTCCACTATAACCAAAGGAGATTACAAAAGCTTGTCAAATATCTCTCACCACCCACATCCCAAATACACCCAAAATCTCTCAACTCAAAAGCAAGAATACCAAATACTAAAGAATTAAATTCTCTGATCAAATCTCACTCAAAAGAAATAAAAAAGAGAAAACTGTGTATCAATGGGAACAAACACTCTCTGTTATCACTCTTGCGGCTCTAACATACACATATAACATATATAATGCTTTCTCTAAGTGAAAGTCGGCAAACCTGCCGCAACACTAAGAGTATGTTTGGTAGGAAAGAAGAGTAGAAGGAAGGAAGAAGGTGGAGGGATTTTGAGAGGGAAAATGAAAATGTAGGTTGTTTGGTAGGAGAGAAAAGAGAAAGGAAAAGAAAATGGAGTGGAAAATAATACATGTGGGCCCCACCATTTTTTTTCTTTCCACAAGTGGGCAGAAAATGAGATGGAAAATGGGGACAACTCATTAAAGTGAGCAAAGTTATTAAACTCCATTTTCTCCATCAACATCCAAGCAAAAAATTTAAGGGTATAAAAGTAATTTACGAGTAAGATTTTTTCTTTCCTCCCAATTTAACTTCCAATACCAAACAAGTGAAGGTAAGCTCATTTTCTTTCCATCTTCTCATACCAAACAACATAAAAGAAAATCAATTTCCTTTCCATCATTGCTATTTTCCATCACTTCTATATTTCTTTTCTATCCAATTTTCTTCCTTCCTACCAAACATAGCACAAAACAAAGGGAAAGATATGGGCCTTGGGCCCAAACCTAAAAACATGCTTTGTGGGCTTGATTTGAAGCCACACACCCAACAAAAATATAGTAAAATACAGATTTTTGAAACTGTATAGTTTTAATCGGACAAAATTAAAACAGTTTTGGTTTTTAGCAAAAAGTTCATCAAAGAATCCTTGTGATTTCAGTAAAATACTATGTTTTTAGACCTTGTTTTAACAGAAAATATTCATGAAGAAAGTTTTCGATAAATTAGTTTCTAAGACAGTTTCATGGTGGTATACAAATTAACTCTAAAATGACTTGTGAAGCGGTTTCAAAGTCGGCATTTGAAAGAAAATTAATTTAGGACTGATAATGGAATTTTAGCACTTGTAACTAAATAAGTAAGCAATCGGTTTTATGAAAGACGAACAGTGGTTTCTTTTAAAACTTTAATAGTTTTCGAGCAAAACATCCCAACAGAAACTTACGAGCCGAATGTATTAGGCCCTTAGAATTACGAAGATTATATATGGGTCCAATGCCCGTATTAGTTCAAAAACTCCCGCTCAAGTCTAAATTTCAACGGTCTAAGAGTTAGGACGTCGTTATTAAGTCTCTAGGCCAAATTGGGCCTTAATATCGGAATAAGCCCAATAAGGTAATTTATGGAGATTTAGCTACTAGATTAGATAATTGATTTCAATCTAGGCATATGTATGTTAAGGGCAATTAAGAAAAATAAGATTTTGAGGATTTAATAAATTGATTCTTATAGTAAATTTTTACAATCCTTTGATAAAGGAAAGGAAGACAAAACTTAAGTAAAGGATTAGATTCCTTCATAAGTTGCTAAAATAGAATAGCAAACGACAGCTAATCTCACACTCCTAATGGCTGTTCATTTTTAGATGTAAGCAAGTAAGATAATAGGCTGTTTGGCAAATAGTGGATTCCAGCTCTGTAAATCAGGTTAGTAGGACTCTCGCCTACAGTATGAGTAGATTTTAAATAAAAGGTTACGCATGTTATATATGCATGTTTATGCTTTATGTGATGCCATATCATATTGCATACACCTTAATAAGTCAAGTGAAACTTATAAGAATAAACTCAGTTGAGTGTCATACCAACCTCTGAGAGGGATGTAATTCAGACTCCGCAAGGGAGATAAAAAAAGTATATAGTAAGTTAAATCACGGTGTCGTTGGGGACCTTGCAAACCCCCACGCCCGATGATTGCGTGCAAATGGTACGAGCACTCGGGCCCATCAGTAAGTAAGATAATATCAGATAATAAGAATTTAATAAGACATGATCATAATTAAGCATAATTGGCTCATGCATATTTATTCATGTGAACTTACAATTATTTTGCGAGAGATAGTTTCGACTTGCTGAGCGAAAGCTCATCATAGAATATTTATACTGTAGATAAGCAACTTGCACCTAATGTTTGATGGACTGATGACGGGACAGTGGACGAACGATGTGGAGATTGGGGAATGGATACCGCTCGCAATTATTTCTGTAAATAATTTTGCTAATTATGATTCTGAAACTTTCTGTGAAATGGTTATGTGGATTATAGCTGTAAGTAAGCAAGACTTAAGGATTAAGTATATACATATAGATATAGCTATATGTTTTGAAAAACGGATATGTTAAGGTATAAATATTTTAATCAAGAAAGCAATTTGAAACTTATGTCTACTATATGACTTAAAAAAAAAGTTCCATAAATTTTAATAAAATTCAGCAACTATAAATTAATATTAGCTACAGTGACGCCTACTAAGGGAGTCGTCACATCCACACGCTCCTAATTAAACTGTGTTTAGCAATCTTACTGCCTATGAGATCACAAGTGATCATCCTTCATCGCTGCACACGTTATTCTTAATTTAATCATCAATATTTACTTTTACGTATGACATGAAAAAAGATACATGGTAACTTTCTAGCGTTAAAAAAAATGTGATACTAGATTTTATGTTATTTA